GCCCTCTGGAGTCCCAGGGCATTTTTTTAAAACAATTTTTATTAGTTGCTCAAAACATTACAATGATCTTGACATATCATACATTTGATTCAAATGGGGTACGTAATCTTAATCTTATTTTTCCACATGTACAGGTTGCAGGATCACATTGGTTATACAGTCCCAGGGCATTTTTTAGGGGTGGGCTCTACCTCAGGAACAGGGACAGTGACCTGCTGGCCAGGGAGGGCTATGAAGATGTTGGCAGTCAGACTAAGGCAGGAGGACTGAAAGTTTGAGGCCAGCCTGGGAAATTTAATGAGAACTTATTTCAAAATAAAAAAAAAAAAGGCTGAGGATGTAGCTCAGTGGTCAAATGTCCCTGGGTTCAATCTCCAAAACAAAACAAAACAAACAAACAAACAAAGTGAAAGGGTAAGAGACTTTGGTTCAGAGAACAAGGACTTTATAACTAGAAAGTAGACTCAGGTTTCATGAGACCTTGTATTAGTTTCCTAGGACTGTTGTAAAAGCATATCCAAAACTGGTGGCTTAAAACGGTAAGAAGTATATTGTCTTACGGGTTTGGCAAGGCCATTCTCTAGCGGGAATTCTCCCTTGTCTCTTCTAGCACCCAGTGCTGGCCAGCAATCCTTTGTGTTCTTTGGCTTGTCACAGGACCATCTTCTTGCTCTGTGTCTTCACACACTTTCTTTTGTGCATGTCCATCTCTATGCTCAAGTTTCCCAGTTTTATGATACCATTCATGTTGACTTAGGCCCACCCTAATGACCCCATTTTAACTTGATTCCCTATTTACAGACTGTTTCCAAATCAGATTACATTCTGAGGCTCTGGGGAGTAGGATTTCAATTTTTTTTTTTTTTTGTGTGTGTGAGTGCTGGGCACAATTCAACCCATAATAGTCTTGAATTTATATAATTTGTGGGACCCTCTATAAGACTAAGGATATAAAATTTACACATGCCTAATTAGGTCTTGGGAAGGAGCTTGGGATTTGCTTATGACATTAGAATAGTCACTGGCATATATCAATTTGACCACAATGAAGTAATACTGTACCACATTTAATGCATATGAATTCACCTATACCAGTGTAAGCCTGCAAGCGAGACAAGCTGCTTATTGTTTTGCTCCCTATACCTTGGAGTAAGATGTGTACTGAGACTCGGAAAGGAGAATTTGTCTGTGAAAAGTGAGATTCTGTCCAAAGGTTGCCGTGTTTTGCAAAACATGGCCTTGAACGCCAGTCAATGACTTCAGCTGGTGCTCAAAGGAAAAACAACAACAACAACAACAATAGAGGATAATTTTGAATTTGTCTTCTTTTGCCCAAACCTTGAATTTAGACCCTGAATTCTTGTGTTCCTCCTCTGCTCTAAACTAACCCATCAGGAGTGCCTACCAAAGCTGGGGAAGTACAGGCAGAAGGTAGAGGTTGTGGTTCACAAATATGGGAAAGGGAATGAGAAATAGGTGGCACCAGCTTAGTCCCTACCAGCTAAGGAAGATGGGGACAGATCAAAGAAGGTGATGTCCCTCTCTGACACTTTGCCAATTTCTGGAGCCAGTTGGGCGTGTCCTTGTAACACACTTTGGATAACAGGCTGTGAGAATAAATAGGTTCACTCCTTAATCAACCATTCCTAAAAAGGCATGGAGCAGGAGACTGAACTCCGCAAAAACACGGCTTGAGAGGGCATTGTTCAGTCTCAGAGGAGGCACATTTTTGCAACAGCCTTTGGGAGTTCAGTGAGGTGCAAACACACATTGGGGGAACTGAGAATGTAACTTGCCAACCTAGAAAACTCCTCTCCACCTATGTAGAAAATAGAGTTTTATTATTGATTGAACATTAAGCCACACTGAGATGCACCTCATAATCTAACGAGGTTGCAAAGAGAAATAAACCTCACTGGGATATTGCCAAGCATATACAATCTATTACATGCATGTTCTCAAGGTAAACAACCTGTCCTTATGTAAGAAGACTTGGCAGCACCATTTGCTAAACATTCTTTCATAGTTCATCCTAAGTTCACTTGGTAATTGGAGTGGCCATCTGGCTTAGTTAATTGCCATTATTTGAAAGAAAAAGAAAACTTTTCCTATCTCTAACACAAATGTGTTGTTACAGTCTGGAAAAAGCCCCTTGGTTAAACTCCAAGGCAAAACTCTCAAGGCAACAAGGAGATAGGAATATTATCTTCCTTGATGTTTACATTCTAAAGACTGGGCTCTGAGGCTCATTTAACATGCAAGAGGCTCATTTAACTTTTTAAGGATTTATGTACATATCAAAGTGAAGAGAGAAAAAATTTACAAATTCAAGTTTTCTCTAAGGAAATGCTCCAAGAAAAGCTCCTTTTTTTTTTTTTTATCAGGGAAAGTTCAATTTTATTTTTATTCCCCCATCCCTTTAATTGTGATACTAGAGATTTAACGCAGGTGCTTAACCACTGATCCACATCCCTAGCCCTTTTTATTTAACTTGCTTAGGGCCTCGCTTAATTGCTAAGGCTGCCCTTGAACTTGCAATCCTCTTGCCTCGGCGCCCAAGCTGCTGAGATTACAGGCACGTGCCACCATCCCTGCTCTTTCTTATTTTTTAAAAATCTTTTTTATTGATTTTTTATATATATGACAGAGGAATGCATTACAATTCATATTACACATGAGAGCACATTTTTCCCCCATATCTCAGGTTGTACAAAAAGGATATTCACACCAATTCCTGTCTTCATACATGTACTTTGGATAATGAAGTTCATCACATTCCACCATCATTTCTAACCCCCTGTCCCCCACTTTTCCTCCCACCCCTCTGCTCTATCTAGAGTTCATCTATTTCTCCCCTTCCCTTTCTTATGAGCAAAATGCATGTTTGATGGAAGAATTCACCATGAAGAGAATCTATGTCAATAATGAGGAAGCCAGGACATTTGGGAGGGTGAGTTGGGGATTCTAGAAAGCCAGGGAGGAGTTAAAAATTCATCATAGGACGGCATTTAAAAAATTGTTCTTTTGTGGGCATTTCATCTTCTGACTAGCAGAGACATCTGGGACCTGGGAGCCTTGTAGGCAGAAATTCTCATCAGCATGGGATTCTTGTTAGGAGGAGAAACCTCTCACTGACTTGGATGCTGCTTTCCCCCCTTTATCATCTATTGTGGGCAAATAGGAACCAGAAGGTCCTCCCAATCTGTGGTGCTGAGGATGAAGAGGGTGTAACTGGATAGTGGAGTTAAAAAAAACCACTTTTTTTGCCTTACAGTCAATAATTGTTGCTTACCTGTGGTATGGAGCTCTCTGGGCCTAGGACTGAGAGCTTCTTTAGGTGAATATGGAATGAATGGAAGGACAGTCTCCAAGGGGAGTCCTCCCTAGAAGGGGGTATTGGGATATTCTTCCATGAGACTAGGCTCAACTTTCCCTTTCTTGGAGGGAGTTTGGGATCAAATATGTTGCTACTTTGGGCATGGCACACATGCCAGAAGAGAAGGGAATTAACTGGGCATCATTCAGGCAGATCGCTGGTCTGTAAGGAAACGGGGTGTTGTCCCGTGAGGGTAGAAATGACACCTTCACTAAAAGGACTGAATAAATTTAAGAGCGAGACAGACCAAGAGTGTGAACCAACTCAGGTTGCTTCAGAGAGATTGCCATTGCACTGTCTTTATTTATAGCCTAATCCTGACTTACTGAGAGGGTCTAGGCATTCAATGAGAGCTGAGTTACCCGGAAGTTCCCATTGACACTTTTAAAATGTATTTTCTGTAGCCTTATACTCTTGCAAATATAGGACTGGTGAATGAAATCAAATTGTTATAATTTTCCATCACACAGATTTACATTAATTTAGTCTGGTGACTAAAGAAAATTCATTATAGAACGGCATTTAAAAAATGCTTACAAGCACCTCTGCTTAACCTTAAGAGAAAGTAAAAGGAACCATTTATTTGGCAGGCAAAGAACCTTGCCTCAGAGAGGTACTACATTGGGCATTTCCTCCTTTACCAAATATTCACATTGATCAGAAACTTTTTATTTACTTATTTTGGTACCAGAGATTAAACCCAGGGTCACCTAACCCCTGAGCCACAACCCTTGCCCCCCTTTTTATGTTTTATTTAGAGATACGGTGTTGCAGAGTTGCTTAGGTCCTGGCTATATTGCTAAAGCTGGCTTTGAACTCACGTCCTCCTGCCTCATCGTCTGCCACCGAGCCCAGCTTGAGACAGATCTGAGACCCTCAAATATTCTTTGAAACTTTGCCCCAGAAAATAAAACTTTAAAAATGTTTTGGAATTAATCTCATATGCTGCATGCAGTACTCCCACAAAAGAGAAATTCCTCATTTCTGGAGCTCTGATCTCTGGCGCTTAGAATTTAGTTTCTTGCAATATTGGGGATTGAAACCAGCAGGACTCTATTTCTGAGCTACAGTCCCAGCCCTTTTTATTTTGAGGCGGGGTCTCACTAAGTTGCTAAGGCTGGCCTCAAAACTTGCGAGATCCTTCTGCTCTTGCCTCCTGACTCGCTGGGCCTCAGAATTTCTCTAAAACTTGTTCCCTGATCCACGTTAAGGAAAACTTTTCCAAACGCTAAATCAAATCCAGATCTGGCAGGATGTCAAGCGGTAAAGCCACGCCTTTATCAAAGCGAGAGGCTAAGTCTGCGCGCGGAAAGATCCTTGGCTTCCTTCCACCTCGGGAAGCTTTTCTCGGTTCTAATGGGAAAAGGATAACGCCGCCCATAGCTCTGTATTACGACAGCAATTACGCACGCGCAAAGGCTGACAGGGAGAGGCGGAGCGCAGAGGCGCAGCGCAGAGGCGCGGGGGCGGGGAGAGGGAAGCCCAACCCTCCCATTCGCCGTGGCTTTAACTCCTTGCTGTCTCTCTGCCGAACTTCCTTTACTTCCCCTCTGACCTCGGAAAAAAGGGGGTGGAGCCTTAAGGGGCGGAAGTCGCGGTGTATTGTGGGTTCGCCTTAAGCAGTGGAGTTCATCCTGAATGAAAGTGACGTGCCGCCGCTGACGTTACCCGGTAGAAGCGGGCGGCATACGGGTTCCGGCCAGGATTCGGGTGCCTTGAACCTCCGGTGCGAACCTGACAGCGAGGAGACGGCGGCTGAGGCACAGGGGGCGTTGACGAAGGGGCGCGGCTTTGAGCGGCTCCACGACATGGCACACAACAAGATACCACCGCGGTGGCTGAACTGTCCGCGGCGCGGTCAGCCAGTGGCAGGTAACCTGGGAGCGGGTGTTCGAATCCCCACTTCCCCAAAGCCAGGGGTGGGCTTACTGAAGAACAAAGCTTTTGGTAGTGGTTCCGAGCCCGTTAGCGGTATTTCAAGACCGAGGAGTGCTTGATCGGGTGAAGCTTAGAGGATGAGAGGCAACGCGGACGGGAGGGAGATGGTCCGTGGATGGGGGCCACTTGTCACTCTTCCTGTAAGGCTAAGTATTGCGAACGGGTAGGTAAACAGGAGGCCCCTGTAGCAATAACTGAGGACCCAGGAATACAGAGGGCAGTACTTTAAAGCTTAGTCAGATGTTTGAGAAGGTTTAGGGGTTCAGTCTTCCCCTCGGAAGGAGAGGAGGCAAAGGAGAGATGAACGTGGGTCTTAAGATGAAGGGAAAGCCAAGAAGGAGAGAGGCGATTAGCAGTGCTATGGGTCCACATCAAGACTGGGAATCGGAAAGTTTTTTTTTTTTTTTTTTAATGACTGTTGTTGTGGACTTTTTATCTTTAAAGAGTTTAGCATGCAAACTTCAGAGTGTACAGTTTGATAGATTTTGGCTACACACATACACACCCCTTATCCTATCACCTTGCTAAACCAGAACTCCTGAGATAGAGTTCACTGAAATAAAAGGGTTTATTAAGCCATATAGGTGCTAGTCCAAAACAAAACAAAACAACAACAAAAAACTACAGCCTCTGAACAAGGCTCCACAATTCCCAGTAGCAATACTAGTGAGCAGCTGGAACGATGTCGGTGTAACTTAGGAACCAAGAGGCGTTTTTATAATAAAAAATGAGGAAGGAATACATGAATTATTCAAATGGAATTTATATTGGCTGTAGGTAAGCCCGACTTGATAATGAAAGCAGGGTTAAGTTTTAGGTTAGGAGGACGGTCCATAAGGAGTATTCCTTGCTTTTGGATTAGTTGAGGTAAACAATTTTAAAATTATTTTGTTAACAGTTTCAACAACTTGGAGTTTGGGTCAAGATTTCAACGGTACATTTAGAAAGGTGAACAGTTTTTGTTATTGTGTTTTGGGCTGCAGTGGTTAACTGATTAATTTCCTTAATCTCTTTCTCCATCTTTTTTTTTTTTTTTTGGTATTGGGAATATAACTCAGGGGGGTTAACCACTGAGCTATATCCCCCGGCCCCCTTTTTTTTTTAAAATATTTTATTTAGAGACAGGGTCTCACTGAGTTACTAGTGTCTTGATAAGTTGCTGAGGCTGGCTTTGAACTTGCCATCCTCCTAGCTCCGCCTCCTGAATTGCTGGAATTACAGGCATGCAGCACCACGCTCAGCTTCTTCCTCTGTCTTCAGGCCCTTATAATTAAATTTAGGACCCCTGGAATTTTTCTCTTATCATCCCTCTAAGTATCCTACTGCCCATTTGTAATTTCTTTCTTCTCATTGATCTGCTTTTTGTTACTATAGATTAGTTTGCATTTTCTAGAATTTTAAAATAAATAGTAACACATGTATTTGTTTTGGAGGTGTGTTTGCCATTTTTTCCCCCTCTTCAGTACTGGGGATTGAATCCAGGGCTTCACACAAACTAGGCAAGGGGTGTACTGCTGAGCTACATCCCCAGCCTTTTTATTTTTTGAGACATTTTGGCTATTTGCCCATGCTGGTCTTGAACTTTTTTTTTTTTTTTTTTTTAATATTTTTTTAGTTGTAGACAGACATAATACCTTTATTTTATTTATTTGTTTTTATGTGGTGCTGAGGATCTAATCCAGTGCCTCAGAGATGTTAGGCAAATGCTCTACCATCTGAGCTACAACCTCAGCCCTGTTCTTCAACTTTTGGTCCTCCTGCCTCAATATCCTGAGTAACTGGGATTATAGGCGTGTGCTGTTGTGCCAGGCTGTCTGGCTTCTTTTAGTCCACATAATTATTTTGAGACTCATCTAGATTTTTGCATGTGGTAGTTCATTCCTCTTTATTGCCAAGTAGTATTCCCATTGTTATAAGTACACCATAATGTGTTTATCCATTCATCTGTTGACAGTCATTTTGGTTGTTGCCAGCTTTTGTTACTATACATAAATCTTGATATGAATATTTGTGTACAATTCTTTGTATGGATAGATATGTGCTTTCATTTGTGTAAATCTGTAAGGAATGATTGAATTATAAAGTATGTGTATGTTTGTTTTAAAGAAACTGCCAACCTCTTTTCCAAAGTGGTGACTATTTTTTAAAATATATATTTTTTTAAATTTATTTTTTATTCTAATTTGTTATACATGACAGCAAAGTGGTAACTTTTTATAGTCCCACTGTCAGTGTGTGAGAATGGCATTTGTTCTATATCCTCTGCAACGCTTGTTATGGTTAGTCTTTGATTTCAGCCATTGTAGTGGATGTGTAGTAGTATTGTAGTTCAGTAGTGAGTGTCTTTTCATTTACTTCTTGGTCATTCATGTATTTTTTGTAAAGTTGTCTGAAAACGTTTTGTTAAGTTGTTAGGGTCTCACTAATTTGCTTAGGGCCTTGCTAAATTGCTGAGGCTGGCTTTGAACTTCCTATTCTCCTGCCTCAGCCTCCCCAGCCACCGGGATTAGAGGTGTACATCACTATGCCCGGCTCTTCTTTGCTGATTTTTAAATCAAATTTGTTTTATTGGGGTGTTAAAATTCCTTATATTATAAATACAAGTCCTTTGTTGAATACATGCTTTTGCAAATATTTTTTCCAGTCTGTAGTTTGCCTTTTCATTCTTTTAATAGTTTCATTTGAAGAGTAAAAGTTCATATTTTAACTAACTTGCTTTTTCTAGAAGGTAGTTTTAAAACAAAAATTAAAGGATTTTATAGTAAGCCACGAATACTTACTAATTATGTAGTTATTTACATATGTTTGTCTAATTACTTATATATTTTTTCGCAGTGCTGGGGATTGTACTAGAGCCTTGCACATGCAAGGCAAATTCTCTACCACTGAGCTACATTCCCAGTCCCATCTAATTATTTAAAATTATTCAAAGAGGATATTCTGTAGTTACTTTTTGCTCAAACTTTCTGATTCTTTCAGTTTGTTAGCTTTCCTTCACATTTTATATGAAATCCTCAGTAAAGATAAACAATGGACAAAAGTGATATTGAAAGAGAATATAAACAAGTCAATGTGAGAATCTTTAAGAAACATGAAATGATTTTTTTTAATGTTCTAACCATTCTTACGTGCATTTTCAATTGTGATGAAAACAGTTCTGCTTGATAAACATTGTATTTTCTTCAAGGAAATTGATCACTTTGTCATTCTTTACATTTTTCTTCGTAGGCCCACTTTCCAGTTATTTTCACCTTATTTCTTGCAGTCTCTAACAGTACATAATCCTTTCTTTCTAAGTGTATTTTTAGTATGGAATTATGAAATAAACTTTAACTTGAGATCTGGCTTTCTCAGCTTATGCAGGTTTCCTGGATCCCTTATTTACAGTTATCTGCTGCACTCTCCTTATAAGGAGTCCATTGAGGACAAAAGATAGTGTACAAATAGCAGTTGTTCTTTACCCCAGCATACCGACGGCTCTACTTTATAGGAATGTAAATGTCTCTATGTGGAGGGAAAGTGGAGGGAGTGAGGAAAGAGGATTCTGGTTAGACTGTGGGCTATCTTGGACCGAATACGAAAGCTAAATTAGGCATTATTATGGAAAAGTAAGTTATTACACTTAAGTGAATTGGAGGTGAGGAAGGTAGGGGTATGTGTATTCTTTTTTTTTTTTTTTTTTTGTGGTGCTGGGGATCTAACCCAGGGCCTTGTGCATGTGAGGCAAGCACTCTACTGACTGATCTATATCCCCAATCTTGTGTATTCATTTTCAAAAAAACAATTTGTGAAAAGAGTTAGAAATGAAGTTGGAGGATGATAAAAGAGAGTTTAGGGCTTATTTAATTGCTGGTGGGAATGAACCAACAAATGTCCAAGATGCTGAAGATGTTTTGGGTGAGGGGAGAAAGGAAGAGCTGATTAATGGTTCTTGAATAGCAAGATGGAAGAGAATCTACAGCAGAAGGGAGGGGAATGGTTTTTAATTGGAAGAGGAAAAGGATGGGGTCATATACAGACAGGTTTCTAGATTAACTGCAAAGGTGAAGTAAAATTCTGCCTGATAGTAGAGAGCCATTGTTGAATAGCAGTTATATGCATGGATTTTAGTTCCAAATCTTGGTTTTAGTCACTGTTTTGTTATACTAAAAGCAGGCATTGTGGTGTCTCACCTGATTTCCTTAGCTCTTGTGAAGGTAGTTTGGTGCATTAATCTGTTCAGTTTTGGAGAACATCAGTAGAGGATCTTACTCAGCACATCTTGCTCTATCTCTGAATCATTGTTCTACCACTTATTAATAGTGTGGCACCTGGCAGTTTAAATTGTCTTTTTGACCTTATTTCTCTTATCTAAAATGGGGCTACTATTTGTACTTACTGTTAGAAGTAAATAAATCATGTAAAAATGTATTAAACAGCATTGACATGTGGCAAACATTACATAAAGTCTTTTTTACTGTGGCTTCTATTTCTTTTTAGTGAGGTATATAGTTATTGCTTTAAAAGAAGTAGGGAAGTATTCATGATGGCCTAAAAGAAAATAAAAAACAACAACAACCTAGGAATAAATCTAACCAAGGAGGTGAAAGATCTCTGCATTGAGGTACTGAAGAAAGAAATTAAAGAAAAAATAGAAGATGGAAAGATCTACCATGTTCATGGATAGGCAGAATTAATGTTGTTAAAATGGCCATACTGCCAAAAGCAATACATAGATTTAATGCAATCCCTGTCAAACTACCAATGATGTTCTTCATGAAATTAGCAAAAAAGCAATCCTAAAATTCATATGGAACAATAAAAGATCCAGAATAGACGGAGCAATTCTAAGCTATAAAAGTGATACTGGAGGCATCAAAATACCCGACTTCAAATTATACTGCAGAGCTTTAGTAGCAGAAACTACATGGTACTAGCATAAAAACATACACATA